TATAAGAAGCAATAAAATCAGGCAACTACATTCCTGAGGACCCCATTTTCAAACCTTCAACTCAACTGTATGCTTCAAGATCACTCAAGCTCCTGCAAATTTGCTATTTTCTCTTAAACTTGTTCATATTTTTGGACACTGCCACTGTCACAACCACAACATGTCAACACGTCTCTTTTGTAAAAAAAATATTGGATTAGATTATGACATAAATGTATACTTTTTATGAAGAGGTCTGAAGTAGCTAGGAACAGAGGGGAAACAAAATGGCTGATGTGAACAACTCATGCATATCATGTGAAAGAGTAGGTTTTTGTCACCACCATCAGACGTCACCACCGTCAGGTTTTCTATTTGACGGTGGTGACAAAAACCTTCAAATGGTCCTCAATTGAGGCTAGAATATAATTGTTGATCACAATAAATACCAATATGACCTGTGATGTTTCATTGACCTCTTTTGTAATTTTTATTGCTGTAATTCCCCCTATATTTCTTCCATATCGTCCAACCCTAGGGGATGAGGTGTGCCATCCCCCTCTCTCTCAATTCATTATTATGCCATGTTCATTTAGCTTACGTCATCCAACATTCAGAACATTCCCCCCAAATCCCCCCTACCCCCCCAATCATTACACTCAACTTTGACTTTATGTATTTTAGGAAGTTATGACTAGGCAGCAGCTATCAGTGGAGGAGAGAAGGAGAAGAAACAGGGAATATCAAAGGAAGTGGAGAGAGAAAATACACAGTGAGGCAGTGTGTCTGATGGTGTTGACAAAAACAAAGAAATAACTGAAAAAATGCCTATTTTATGAAAAAAATACAAAATAAGGAGGTTGCTGAACAGCCAAGACCTTGGTCTATGATGATATACCTTCAGATTTTGTAATTTAAGTAACTTTTTATTTTCAGAATTAAAACCTGTTTTATCCAAATTCCCAAGAATTAGTGATATGTACTGTAGCACCATGCTCCTGGAGGAACGCTGTCTCTTTTCACTATGTACTGTATTACTGTATATAGTTAAAATTACAATAAAAAGCCACTTGACTTGACCACAAAATTTTCAGCGAGGTGGTCAGAGTGGGAATAAAGGTAATTTTGAGGTGGCACAAAAATCTAAATATGAATACAAGGCATCTAGAAAATATTTAAGGTACCTAAACGCTCTTCATTGTTTATAATAAAGGCAATGGTGGAATTATCAAATACACATTCCTGATCCCATTCTGTTCCTTCTGGAGTTAATGTTTCTCCTCTTCACATTACCCTGCAGACCCCTTACATTCCAAGAACATCATCAAAACAATTTCGAAACAATGTTTCAAAACGGTTCGAAGTTTCGAAACACTAGTTGTGCACAGCCTGCTGGCAAAAACCGGAACTGCAGCTATAGCAAATACGGCAGAATAAAAACCTATTGCTGCAAATTTTAAAATTATAAAAACCAAAACTTATTCTTTATTATTTTGATAGACTATGGTATACTACCATTAGAGAAAGAAACAAATCTGGTGAAACTTATTTTGTTTTCTGTAATTATATAATATATTATATGTCCCCGCATTTGTTTTCCACCCTGTTAGCCTCTAGTTTCTTGGCTCCCTAAAAAGATTACAAATACCTACAGCCATTTCCAGGAAGTGACATCATTTGTTTTTTGTGGGAAATTCAACTGGAAGACTAAGGTAAGCTTTAACTGTCACTCTCTCCTGTATTTTTCTCAATTTTATATTGCACACTGGTTTGAGGCAGCCTTAAAGTTCCACTCTGTTAGTATATATTATGGGAAATATTTATTGGAAATAATATTTTTTAAAACATGTGAAAAATAGCTATTTAAATGCTGATCAGCTGTAGAGTGTGTGCTAGCTAAATGTTGCTCACTCAAAGAGCTAAAGCTAAATTAGCTAGAAATCTTCCACCCTGTTAGGTTCCACCCTGTTAGGCTATGTACTGTATGGGATATGCAGCCTACTGAGTAGAAATTGTACAAGAATATTTATTATTTTCATTAAAATGACTTGTAGGTTTATTATTTGAGTGTATTTCTTAATTATTTATGTTACTACAGTGGTATTATTATTAATGATAATGAATAATAATGGTATAAATGTTCTTAAATGAATTCTATCTATTCCTATCTATTTTGTGAATATTATTATTCTGATGCTATTCCAGACATTACAGTAGGTTAAAAATGCAGGAAAATAAGGGAGAAATCATTGGCTATGTTGAATCTGAATCTACTTCTTAAGAGGCCTACTCAGTTATATTCTATTCCAGCCTGTTAAGCAATGATTTAAAAAAATATTCTAATCACAACAGTAAGTGTTTGGTATATTTGTATATTGTTTTATTAAATGAGGTACATATAATGCATCTACATATACTTTTATTTCTAATGAATAAAATTCCTCATACAAGACAACAAAATGGGGACAAAAAATGCACAGATTCCATTATTCTGACATTGTACTCTTCATAAAATTAAAACGGTTAATGTTACAAGAATGAAACTTTTATCATAGCAAAAGGGGCACATTGTATCCCAGAAAAGTTCAATATTGTTTGACTTGTACATTATTTAAACTCTGTGATTATCATGTACATGTCCCTAACAGGGTGGAAAACGTCTGGAGAAATATAGAAAAAAATCCCATAATTATAATATTTTCAACCCCTGAGCTTGGCAAACATGCATTCCTCATAACTAAGTATGGTATAGTCCTGACAAAATGTTTAAAACATAAAATACAATCATTCCAATTTTCAGAAAACAGACAGCCAAATATGTGGTCCAAAACAGGAATCACCCATATGTATATGTAATCTGTGTCTATGCGTACTCTAGCTTTTTGATTTATGTTTCTAACTGAATCTAAGCAAAACCTTGATATTGCACCTACTATAACTATACGTTCCTCACTATACTTATGCCTAAATCACACTAACTGCAAACCTGTTTCACTAATACAATTGGATTTCAAATAATAATCACCAAACTACTCGCTCAAACCAACAACGCCACAAACACCCAACACACACCGATTTTTCCCGGGGTTTTTTTTTTATAGGTTTTTTTCTCTCGCCATGAACAATGACACAGTAGTCACATGACTGATGTTTCAAAACATTTCATAAACTACGTATCGAGACCATAAGTTTCGGATGTCTTCGGAACGGTTCGATCCTGGGTGCCGAAATTGCCATCTCTATAGTATATGACATTATAATGTGAGTTAGAATGATAAGCTATTTCCCCATAAGACAAGTAGGCACCTTATTCTTATCCTCAAAGTATTTTGTGTGTCTTGTCCATCTAATTGTATTAACATTAGAGATGCACCGATACCGATATTCGGATCGGTATCGGCGCCGATCCAGACCTATTTGACGGATCGGGAATCGGCCATGCGTGCCCGATCCACGTCCTATACT